CGGGGCCGGGGGGGGGGGCTCCTCCCTCCCTCCCCCTCTCCCTCCCCCTGCGCCCTGCCTGCCTGGCTCTCTGCTTCCCACCCTCTGCCTCTCCTGGAGCCTCTTTCTCTTTCACTTTTGCATGCCCTGCAACCTTTTAAAATGTTGCCCCTTCCCTGTGATTCGTCAGACGCGGCGGCATGTCCCCTCTCTCGCTCCCGCTCCCTCTCCCTTTTTTGTCTCCCTCTCCCTCTCTCTCTCTCTCTCTCTCTCCCCCCTCTCTGATTAGACACACTGATTCTTCATTCAATGGACGTCATTTAGAACAGGCTCTGCCTTGAGTTGCTTCCTCGCTTCACGCTCGATTTCCAGCCATTCTTCCCTTATTAAGTATTCGTGTAATATTAATAGTCATGAATATCTGCTATTAGGAGGCTGGAGGAAGGCAGCGGCACATCGCGGCTATTAGGAGCTCAAGTGGAGCAGCAGCTAAGTCCAAGAAGGAGGAAAGGAGCCAGAGACAGGGAGGAAAAAGAAAAGAAAAAAGAAAAAAAAAGGATTCAGAAACAAGCACACACACACCAAAAAAAAAAAGACTAATAAACTTTGATCCTCCTCCTCCTCCTCCTCCTCTCAGGACAGCCTAGAGATCGCCTTTGCAGCCGCACATGAAGGGCATCAGGACCTGGTGCAAGTTCTGATGGATTATCGTGGCGCTGCCTCGCCGCACGAGAGGTCCTGGCGGTGCGGGCTCGTAGGCAGAGTCTAGAGCCGGGCTCCTCTTTTTTTGTGCGAGAGCGCGTGTGAGAGTGAGTGTGTGTGTGTGTGCGCGCACAAGGGGGGCACTTCTCCTCCGTGGTTTTTCTCCCCCGGCTTGTTACCCCCCAGCCGCTTCGCAGATGTTAGTACACAGTTTTTCAGCGATGGTGAGTTGCTTCACTCTTCTATCTCAGGCTTGTGATGTGTCTTGCTTGCTTGCTTCCCCCCCACCTCTCTCTCCCCCCCTCCTTCTTATTGTTATTGTTGATGATGATACTTTGGGTTTCACACCCCGGTTTCCTACGGGGAATTTCCTCCCTTCCTTATGAAGATGATGATGATTATTAATTTAATTCAGTTATAATTTTCTTCCTCCACCCCCCCCCTCCGGGCTGCTTCAAGTGAACTACAAAAGGCTTGTTAGTACCATGCCCGGCTAATTTCCTCCCCCTTTCCCTTTCCATGGGTTGATTTGCTCTATTTCTTCTTTTCCTGCCTCTCTCTCTCTCTCTTTTTTGTCCGGGCTCACCCCTTCTGATGCCGGGCATTTCACGAGAGCCGCCTCCACCTCTCTGGGAGCGATGCCTGTGCCCTAGACATACCTATGGGCTACTCAGTGTAACTCCCCATTTCCAATTAAAACCCGGCTAAATAATGTGCCTCCATTTTTACTGTTGTTTATGTTTCTCCAGCTGCCTGCTTCGAGATATTGTTTTGGTCGCCCCCCCCCCCTTATTATTTTTCCCCCTGGTAGCCTTTGGCTTTGTTTCTATTCCTCGCCTTCCACCTCCACTCAAATACCGAGAGATATTGATTTAATTTTTTTTTTGCACTCTGCATCTTTTGGCTGCTCTCCCCTCACCCTTACACCCCCTCTCTCCAAAACCCAGCCCCCCTGATACAGCGTCTTTGCATCCGATCGCGTCCACAGAGAGGGGGGAAAAAAAACTTGTGCTGGAAATGATTGGCTTCCTCGAAGCAATTTCGACGTGTTTCCACGTTAGAAATAGCCACAAAATGGCAGTGGGCTTTGCTTTCCCCCGTGTTTTGCTTAGATGCCCGGGCGATAAGCTGAACCATAATATTGGTTTAGTTGCATTTAAAGCCGGGGAGATCCGTGTCGGTGGTGGCAGGATTAAAACCGCTTGATTTTGCATTATTATAATATATATATTTTTACTGCAGCCTCTGGGTTGGATTCGGATTCTGGTTTTACCGGAGCGATTGTCGGGACAGCCCCGTCCCCTCTGGCGGTGTCAGGGCTGGGGGTGGGAGGCAGAGCCCGGGGATCGGGGCCTTTTGGGGTTGGGGTTATTTGCCTGCAAAGCCTCCCCGGTCCTGCCGTCCTGGGGAGAGGGCTCACCCGGCAGCTGGGAGTGGGGGGTGGGGGTGCAACTGCCCGGCCCGCGTGTCCGCCCGCAGCTGGATGACATCTTTGTTTCTCTCCTCTTGTTTCCTCCCCCCCTGCCTGCCCAGGACCGTCACGACGGCACCAGCAACGGGACGGCGCGGCTGCCCCAGCTGGGGACTGTGGGGCAGTCCCCGTACACCAGCGCCCCTCCGCTCTCGCACACCCCCAACGCCGACTTCCAGCCCCCCTACTTCCCTCCCCCGTACCAGCCCATCTACCCGCAGTCTCAAGATCCGTACTCCCACGTTAACGACCCCTATAGCCTCAACCCCCTGCATGCCCAGCCGCAGCCCCAGCACCCGGGCTGGCCAGGACAGAGACAAAGCCAGGAGACGGGGCTCTTGCACACGCACCGGGGGTTACCGCACCAGCTCTCCGGCCTGGACCCTCGAAGGGATTACCGGCGGCACGAGGATCTACTGCACGGCCCGCACGGGCTCAGCTCAGGACTAGGAGACATCCCCATCCACTCCATACCTCACGCTATAGAAGACGTGCCGGTAAGGAGCCCGCATGGCACACGCGATCAGCACCTCCCACCCCACCCCACCCCTGCTCGGGGGTGAGTGCTATCCCCAAGGCCGGGTGGCAAAGCCATTGTCACCCTCAGGAGCCAATTTCAACCACAGAGCCCGGGCCCCACGGAGAACAATGGGTCGCCCGGGCCCCGCACCGCCCTGTCCACCCTCCTCGGAATAAATCACCTTACTGTCATCCCCAACCATCTCGGCCTTTGCCGTGACAATAAGCTGCTAGGATTGGAAGAATAGCTAATACCACCGCGGGGCCTTGCATTGGGGATTTCGCACCGCCTTGGGGAAAGGGAAGGGAAAACACCACCCCCCACCCCACCCCATGCACACACAAGCACACGCATTTGCCTGAAATGCAAGAGCTGGCCAAATGGAGAGGCAAACATTACTTCCCCGGATGAAATAAAAGTGGGTGAAAATGGCAGAAGAAGGGGGTGGGGGTGGAAATCAGTTCCCACTGATTACAGAATTGGCATCTAGGCTAATGACGTCTAAAGTTGTAAGAGGATCCTCTCCTCTGAAGGAATTAAGTGGCAGATCGGAGGAGAGGTATATTAAAATGTTGCCTCCTTCTTTTAGCAGGAGTGCTAAGGGTGACCTCATAAATCATTAGCTATAGGTTATCAAATTCTCTGCAGCTCTGCTTCTCCTCCCCCCCAAATTAAATGTTTGCAGGCTATTGGATAATACATTATTTGGAGGTCTAATTCTGTTATCAATAAGTACAGTTCGAAATGATTGCTAATTAAGCATGACATTAGCACACTGGCTATTTACAAAGCCAGAAAAAGGCCATTGTTTCCCCGGGAAGGACCTGATGCAACCTAATGGCAATAACTGTTTGTGATCAAAGTTCCTGTTCCTGGGTTTCTCCCTGAAAATGGAATTAGAACATGCCAATAAATTTATTAAGGCTCACAGCGCTCCCACTCCGGCCGCATTTACTTGCAGGAGAGGGGAGGGAGTCTGATGGGATCTGGATGTGATTTTTGTTAAAATGCCATCCCAAATTACAGGATCAAATATTACAACAATATATCCGCTGACAGTTTAATGATTACAGTTTCATGTTGCCAGGATAATGTTCAGATGAATTTACCTATTTCTTTTTTTTTTAATTTGGTCATTTTGAAACCTTTTTTCTTTCTTTGGTAGATTATACTTCCGGAAAATAGTGAATTTATTGCAGCTCTCATCTGGCTAAATTAACCACAGAAAATTGCTAGTTTCTGGTTAGCAGTTTTGGAGTAAACGGGTGCATTTCCTAAAGCTGAGGATTTAGTAAGCAATTTGGATCTTTTAAGAACAGATCGATATTTTTAACTTGAAAGGAAGGGAAGATTTAGAATAAACTAATTTGTTCACTGCAAGGGCCGAAAAGCCTGCAAGTGGCAAGAAAAGCCTGACCTGAAATATTTTTTTGCAATCCTGTTTGGTTAAGCTGGAAGGTGAAGTACGCGTGGGGGCTCTTTCCAGATATTTTAAGTACAAATCGTTTGATAATAATTCATAAGGATTCATGAATTATTATCAGTGCTATACATCGTGAAAACCAAAAGGCATCTGGTTTAAATCCTTTCCGTCTGTAAAACTGAATCAGCAGGATGCAGGGATAAAGGATAAAATGAGAAATAAATGCATCTTCTAAGAGTATTTTTGCATCTTTTAAGACTTTATTCGGGTGGACTAATATAGTTCTCTAAGGGGATGAGAGTCAGGAAAAAATGTTTTTCCCCCTCTTGTCTTGCTGCTGCAGAAGTTAACCTTTAATAAAAAGGATTGGTAAATATTTAAGAAAATCAAGTCGATGGTGAAAATTATTTAATCGTAAATATCTCCGTGGGATTTTAAACTTAACAGTCCTCCGTGTATGGAATATATGTAGAAATAACACAAATAAAAGTATTATGCCACACTACATTTACTTTATGGGTTTAGGGTGCATGCATAAAGGGATCATATTTCCCCATATAGTTAAAACACAAGAACTGCAGCAGTAGTCATTTCTGAACATTTCTCAATTTAATTATACTTAAATCCAGAAGCACTTTAGGCAAGTTACAAATGAGAGCATTGAGTATAATAAAACCTGTAATAAAGCAACTTAGTACCATCCACCCGGAATCATTGAGATCAGGCACAATTAACAGGAGCATAAATCCAAGACAGAATGGAAAATGTTAGAATCAGTATTATTGTTGGACAAAGACTAGAGAAGGAAGTAATAGTTTTTTAAATGGTAATGCCTGGGTTTTGTAACGATTGCGAAATCTTCTATCTCAGCAGCACTGGTGTTAATTTGTAAACACAGCCAGACATTATATTGCCTGTCAGTTGTTGTTGTTGTTGTTGGTTGTTTTTTTTTTTTTTGAATTAGAAAACATGATTTCATTTTACTTTCTAATCACGTCGTGGCTCTAGCACACACGATCCAGCTGCAAAAGGCACCGGGAGCCCTGACACTGGACAATAGTAAAAGCGGGAGGCACTTTCGGGTTGTCCTGCCCTGGCTATAGGGAAAGGGTTGCAAATGCCTTTTCTCCTTTTCGGGCTCCCTCCCTCCTGTGTGTGTGTGCAGGATGATGATGATGATTTTTTTTCCATTGCTCCCCCTGTTTCTCCCGCTGGCTTCCATTGTTGTTTCCCCGTGCCCTGGCTGCGGCAGGCAGGCAGATTAGGCTCGCCTCTTGCTAGAATATCTGCAGGCTTTTTGTGTGTGTGGTGGGGGGGGACTTGGAAGTGCAAGGAAAAAAACCCCCTGCGGGGTGACTTGCATTTCAGGGTCCTTTGGGAGAAGCCCAGGTGCTTTGATTTCGGGAGGGAGAGAAAGGGAAAGGGATCTAGGTCTGCTTTTATTTAAAACCCTCCAACTCTCCCTTCTGCTCCGCCACCACCTTTGGAAAAAAAAATCCGACATGAATTTGTTTTTCACGTCGTTGGAAGGGAGAGAAAATATAACTTGTAGCACACCCCAAGCCTTCCTAAACTCGGTTCCCTTTTGTGATGACTCTCCATTGACACCCCTCTGTATTCCTTTTGTTGCAGCATGTAGAAGACCCGGGTATTAACATCCCAGATCAAACTGTAATTAAGAAAGGTAAGCCATTTCCTTTCGCATTCCGAGCATGTCCTCACAAGCTGGGTACTATTGAAGGGAGAACTTGCAAAGCTCCTTTCCCTCCTCCTTTTTTTTTTTTCCAAATATCATTTACTAAAGGCTGTGCATAGAAAATAAAATAGATCAGCCGGGCTTGAACTCAGCCTTCTGTGTAGGAGCAGGTTTTGCAAAAAGTGCTATCGTTTGATGGAGAAAATCAGATCCGGGGTGGGTTTTTTTGTGTGTTTTTTTTTCGAGTGCGTCCTAATGCATTTCTGTTTTGTGCTTCCACCAATTTGTCTGGCTGAATGACGTTATTTAATGGCTGGCAAGGGCTCTGCAATAGTACGGAATGGTTTGCCTCCTTTTAATCACGAGGATGAAGGAAAATAAAATGGTAGATGGCTTCGTAGCAAAGGCGTGGAGTTCTTTATAGTGTGATCTCTGGGAAGCTTTGGGTGGGGAGGGGGGAGGTTCCTCAGTGCTTGGAAACCGGTTGCTAATTGTGTCAGATTTAGCTGGTGGTTTCTCTCAGATCTTCCTTCAAATGACCTAAGGATTTTGAAAATCGCGTTCGGGCTAGTTTGCAAAAGGCGGTTCTTGGTGGCGAGGTGGCAAGTGATTGGTTTGCACGGAAGGTGGTGGAGCAGCACTCGCTGGATGGAGGGCTCTGAGCAGTGGCATGCCGGACTTCTCTTGGCAACACTGCGGTGTTTGGGGAGTCTCTGCCCCAGCAGAGCGAGATGCTGGAGAAAGCCGTTCTCCCTTCTTAACCCCACTCGCTATACAGTAGGCTAGTTTAAAGTTTCAATTTTTTTTTCTGTCTGTGAAGCCTTTGTCACGTCAAATTAGATGTGCAAGGGATAAATCTTAAGAGATGCTCTTTCCAAGTCGACATGATAATTGGCTCTTTTATTAGTAATCTCAAGAGTTCGTTTAACTCCTATTGTCTCTATTAGCCTCCCCAGAGCTATTAATGTCACAAGTGATCTATCCAAAACCTAACCCCCCTCCCACCCCTGCCATAGGCTTGGGCTATCCCCACCAAACAAGACATGGGGGGCGGGGAGCCCGGGAACAAAACAGGGGGAGAGTAACCCTTTTTTAATGCACCCGCGTGGAACAGGGATGCAACGTACGTTGCATGCAAAACCAGCTGGGCAGATTGCAGTGCTGCTTACATCTGGTGGGAGCCGCCGGGGCTCCCCGCACTTTTGGGTGGCTCTGAATCAATTCCAGCAATAGCCTCCGCTTGACTGCTGGGGCTTGATTATTTTATTTATGCAACATATATATAGGTCGCTGTGTGTGTGTGTGTGTGTGTGTGTGTGTGTGTGGCTGAGCCCGCGAAGCAGCCGGATTTTTTTGTTGGGGGGGGGTATCTCTTCCCAAGAAAGGCTCTGCCATTTGCTCATCGGGCTTGCTCTCTGGGTGAGGGCTGCCTCCCTGTGTATTAGCCATTTCTCACGTCCAAACTTCTAGGCTGAAAACATGAGAGCCGGCTGCACTGCACACGCCAGCTTAGCGTTTAGGAGCTGGATTCAGAGGCAGCTTGCTGGGCTCTCATTAGTATTGCTGTTACTATTAGTACTGTTGTTGTTTGTAGTATTATATTATTAGTAGCATTGGTATCAGTATTGTTGCTGTTATTAGTAGCATTCCTATCAGCCTTGTTACTGTTGATACTAAAGGTACCAATAAGTTCCTCTTGATACTAATGCTACTATTGATACTAGAGCTACTAATATACTCCTATTGATACCGATGCTACAAAACTGATAGGAATGCTACTACTAATAATACTATTGGTACGAATGCTACTCTTGTCACTATTTAGCAGTAGCAGTACTGTTGTTACCATGGGCCCTCGTATTGTTGCTATCATTACCACCATCATCATTGCTATCACTATCATCATTAGTCTGGCCATCATTCCCCTTATGCTGAATAATATCAGCGGTAAGAATAAAAATCATCATTGTTGCCATTATGATCGTCCTCGTTAGTGGTGTTATTATTATTAGCGTTATTATCATTGTTGTTGGTGTCGTTAGCCATTACATTATTATTATTATTATTATTATTATTATTATTATTATTCTGGGGGCGAATCCCCTTGTGAATCCCTCCCCCTCCCGCCTTATACCGTGCGGGGTTGGGAGCCGAGCCGATTTGCTTTGGGAGCTCGGTGGCTCTGCCTGTCTCTTCTTCACAAACAAGGGCGCCGGCGGGCCCGGCTGCTCCTAGATTTCTTGCCCGGGTTCGGCGCGGGGGAGAAAAGCGCCTGGAGCGTGTCTCCCCCCCCGCCCCCCACGCGATGGCAGCAGCCAGCCCCGCGGAGGTGGCTGTGGCGGGGCGGTCGGAGCCCACGCGGGGGCGGCTGCGAGCCGGCGCCTGCTCCGCGCGGACCGTGCGGGGAAGAGGCGGGGGGGGCGGGGGGTGCGGCCGGGGGACTCACACCGCCGCCCCCCCCCCCGC